CTATTACTTTGATTCACATTATTATTATAATTATTATTATAATAGTAGTAGTAGTTGGTGGTGTTTTTTATTATTATCATCATACAGGATTTAAACAGTGCCAGCAGTTTTCACAGCACTTTACAAAATAAAGGAAGACAGTGCAGTTACAATACAAGAGGATTAGAAGGGCCCTACTTGTGTGAGCTTACAATCTAAAAGGAGGGGATATTTACCATATGGATGTGTGGATGACTAAATAATACCTATACCATGGACTGTCTTACACATCTTTTTAGATCCTCTTTGTTTCACTATATCATTCATAGGTTACACATTGTCAACTGCTAGTTGCAGACATTTTTTAAAGTGTAGCAAATAAAGTGACTACCTTTTTAGATGTTATTGTGTTTAAAACTGGTCGGGTGCAGCGCTTCTGTGAAATATGAGAGGGCAGCGATTTCTATTTATACATGTTGGATGGAACTGTGTTTATATTTAATTCATTGCTGTCTGTAAACCTGCCCGTCCATTCACGATTTCTGAATGATATCCAGTTCTACCCATTCATGATTTTCCATGGGCGTAGAAGAGACCGTTGATGACAAGACTGACCTTTTTACTTGCTCTGTGTTCATTTTAGGAATGCCCTTCCTGTTCTTTTTTTTTTTTGGTTCTTTTTTTCTGCTGAATATTTAGCATACATTCATTTCTCAGCCTTTGTTGTCTGTGAGTGTGTGAACAGCTCTCAACCCCCCCTCTTCTCCCACCCTGTTATTATCCAATGAAAAAAGACCAGAATTGATACCTTTTTCTAATCAATGAAACTTTAATATCAACAATTATGGTACACATGAAGGTCATTTGTGCTCCATTATTCAAGGACTGAAGTGATTTAATAGATGACGTGGCCATGTGTTGAAATACAGTGTTACGAACAAAGGAAACGCAGAGCAGAATTCAGAAGCTGGAGCACAATAAGCTCTGGAGCCATCAAAATATACAAGTTGCTTGCTTTTCTAAAGGGAAATCATCCACAGCAACCTCTATTTCAGTTTACATTAGTCTGATCAGAGGAAGAATTCTTTTGGTTGCTGTGGATAACTGCACTTTGCTTTGCGATTTGTCGTTGCTTCTTTTGTGCTGGCCTTCGGAATACTCACATATTGTATCTTATAGTTTATAATTGTTAGACTTTGAGCATAGTAAGGGTATTGTTAAGGCAGACATGTTAGATGACATTAGTCATCATGTCGCTCTAATGTTTCATTCACTTTTGTAAACATACAGACTTCCACTTCCTTTTCAGTCTTCCCCATCTTACCACATTCAATGCGTTTCTTTAGAGTATCCATTTTGAAAAAGGACCTAGTGCCTAAAAAACAGCAGCATATAAAATGTATATGACCAGATAAAACATAACCGACTATGATACAATTACTGCATATAATAGTTGGTACAGGGTAGTCTAATCTTCACTTGTTTTACATATGTATGAATGGAATATTGAGGGCATTGATAGGTGATCTAACATTCCATCTACTGACATGGAGCATGCTAACTATATGGAATATTTCTAGCACTCATCGGACACCAGCAGATTAGCTCTTGCCATTTTATACAGAGGATAAGAAGTCTACATGTTATTAATCATATTATTTAGAAAAATATGATTGATGTGATTATAAATAGTTTTTTTTTTTTTTTTTTTACTTAGTCTGTTTATAAATAAAATTGCATAGCTCACTCATCCAGCAAAACTGCAGGTACATTCGTTTTGTTCGCGTTAACCAGCTGTTGTAAGAATGAGGCAAAAACAAAGGCTCTTGGTTTATTTTCTCTTCTGGTCGAATGTCCTTCAAAAGGTTTATTAATAAAGAACAGTGCGAATGGGGAAAATACAGCTTTATGGTCACTAGATGAAGCTTAGGATCAGAGGAAATATATGTTAGTAAGGAGATTTCAATTGTTACAATTCTAGAGACCAGAGGAGAGAATGAGCATATAAATGTAACCATTGATACTACAGGGATAGCAATGGTCATGCTAAAATGCTTATGCTCCTCTGCTTTCTCTTGAATTGTAACATTGTATCTCATTACTAACCTGTACTTATTTCCTAAGATTAGAGCTGCAACTAATGATTATTTTCATAATCGATTTGTTGGCCAATTTAATTTCTTCGATTAATCGGATACAAAGTACATAAATACCATCCTTCGATTAAAATAAAATACACAAATGCAGTGTTACAAACATAAAGATTACTTCAGAATAAAACTGCATGCACAACAGCCAGGGAAGGAAGGGCTG